AAATAATTTTTGGATATTTAAAAAGCACAAAATTCTAGTTATAGAGAAAACTTGGTTTTTGAAAATAGCTTTGCCAGCTTAAGGGACGTCCAATTGACGATATCTCCCGTGACAGCCTCGATGGTTGCAAAAACTTAGCGAAGCGTCTTCATTTTCGCTTGTCTTTATTTCTCTATCAGCGGCTGCTGAGTTCCACTCATCTCATGACGTCTCTGCAATGGACTCCTCCGTTCCTGAAGAGTGTCTCAATTCAAAAAACACCAATTTCAACTTAAAGAATGGTATTTTTCAGAATCAATTAGAACACATCGGCTTGGCTATCGGCAATGTCAAACTCCGAATTATTCGGATTTTTAGTTCTAACAACTTGATCTAATCAGAACCTAAACTACAAACTCCCTCAATACACCGCCAACCTATCTAACAATATATGCTACTTCAAAACGATATTTCTGAATATTTTTTTGAACTGAATTGAATTACTGCCTTATTTTATGTGGCGAGACTTAAGCTGCGAGGCCCGCTTTTCTGTCTGTGGGGTTTCTCTATTGCATTGCCTGCTGTTGATTTCCCGCAGAGTTTGAATTCGCAATTTAATATTAATATTGTGTTGAGAACCTGCCAAATTATATTGCAAACAATTAAATAAATAATATCAATGGCGTAACATAAAGAAAATTGGAAATGTTGGCATCAACAATAGCCAACAAGGAAAGAAAATACCCTATGACACTGGTGGGGAAAATTCCCCACCGTCAGACCTCGAACCCAGAATCTTACGGAAAGCGAGAGAGCCAATAATGTTGTCATTGAGCCATCCCAAACGGTCGAAAGGGATGGTTCTATTTATCTTCACTTCATTTTTTTAAGTCAAACGACAAGAAATGTTAGGAACACGTAGATTATTATGGCGTTTTCTTCTCCTTGTCTAGGGGAAGTTTATTTTTCTTTTAATTTGTTGCGTCTTTGTTGACGAAACACTCTTAACCAGTTTTTTTATCGTTGAGCTCCTGCATTGGAAAATCTTCCTTTATTTTCATTGATACGTCCAGCACGTAACAGTCACTCAGTCAGTGCCTTTTATCTATTCAGCTTGACGCCGTTAGATCCCGGATTTCCCATACAGTCAGCCAACCAGGAACCCGCGAGGTCTAGAATTCGCTTAACATCCTTGACTTCACGGGGCGTAGTTAAGGAAATCGGCTAGTGGCACCGGTCTGTGTACTGCAAAAGAATAGTGTACTAGAAGGAGATCCCTTGAATCCACTTCGTTTCAACATCGCAGCAGCTTTAGTATAACATAACCTCATTACCCTCGAAAATTAAAAATATAACTTTTTGGGAAGAAACCTTCGGAGTGGTAAAAATAACCAGATCCTGCCTAATGTGTGTTTTGATAAAGCAAACTTCTGTTAAAGAACTGAAGAAAACTGTTTCTCCTATCATCCGTTGGCTTTTAGTTAGTCTCAAACTACAACAAAAAAGAAGAGATTTGGCCAGAATTCTCCGCAACATGTGCAATGTCAGAATATGGGCAGAACCATGTTTTAAGAAAACGTGTGTTTACAAGATTGGCCGTAGATGACGTTTATTCATCAGAAGAAAAAACGAAGCATATTATGACCCAGCACACGCCCGAATATGTGAAATCTGTGTTGATGAGGGTGATCGTTGCAATACTGAACAGATGAAAATCAAAAGTCTCTGAGGAGAGGCAAAATTGAAAGCAACAATTGAAGTGCATTGCGAAAAAAGTTCACACTAATTATTCATGTTAAACACTCGTATGCACTCGTGTACACTTTAGTTAAAACATTCCATATGCAGAAGTCTACAGTACTCTATATTCGTAGAACTGCGCGAGCATCCAGGATTCTGGCATGCTACACGACACAGACGAGGCATTTGCAAAGACACAGGGTCTTTAATAGGTTAATACTCGTAATTCGACACTTTTCGGGACAGAAACGAATAAAGACATTTTTTATTCAAACATTTGAGTAGCGATCCTTAAGTGTGTGCATTTCAAGAGGCTATGCTTAGCCGGTGATTTATGGTTGATTTGTGGTGGTTTAAATGCCGAAAATTCTACGTATTTTCGCACACTATTACATACCATTCTCTTTACTCTGTGGTAAGAAAGTTAAAACGGGGAATTTCGGCAGAAAAACTCTTCTTACAGGGCTCTGGTAACGAAAAGTGGATAAACCTACTTTCTTAATAAAAAAAACACTGGTGTAGCCACAATACATGTTTTGCCGGTTCTTAATACCCAAAAATCGTTTGAGGGCAAAACGTCAGTCCGTCCGTCTGTGAAGAACGCTGGCTACTAAACCGTTCAGCCGATTTTCTCAAAAATTAATAATCTGAATCAAACTGGCTGATGTCACGGCCCCTTGAATTTGAAACCGGTATTTTAATTTTGAGATGTAGTTTATATGAAGCCCCTGAGGCCTATTTCAAAATTTTCACACACACACACACACACACACACACACACACACAAAAGGCTCCATAGTTTTGGATTAAATTTTGTTGTTGGATAGTGTGAAGGACTTTTAAGAGAATAGTGCAGATCTCGTTTTCGTTGAAAACTGTTTTTTTCGAAAATTGTAAAAATTTAAACCTCTGGTGGGCAAATGAAAATCTCAAACCTCTGGTGGAGACATGAATTAATCGCATCTTGTGTATTTGGGCCGGGATATTGGTAAGTTTTATGGCATTTTGTCGATATTTAAAATTTTTAAATGGTAAAAGCGATGTCATTAGGTTAGATTCACATTCGAGTATGGGGATTCGTCCTCTTGGAAGAAAATTTAAATTCGTCACAGATTTAAATTATGTCATTTTTAATGTGTTTTTATTTTGCTTGTACTATTAATATCGTGCCCCACAACGATACCTTCAGAAGGTGGGCAATCATTTTAATATAACAGTTTGACAGAGTTACAAATTGATTGCTAAAAATAGTATAATTATTGCAAAAATATTAAATATTTACTCAGATAATATTTTTTCGTTATGGCGTACGCGCAGGCAAGATCTATCCTTCGGCAGGGGAAGATAGCGATATTTCCGACTAATGCGTAAACAATGAAGACTCCGCCCCCGGGGAACAGCGTCTCTCCCGCCCCCCAGGATTTTGCGCCAATCACATTTGCACTAATGTTAATGTATGACTGCTAGCGATTGATCAAGCTAAAGAACCCCGTGTTGCCCGGGTACTTATCATAATAATGGTATTAGACAGGAAGAATTCCATCTAATACCGCCTGTAGTGAAGCCTACTTCTCTATTCTCGTATATCTTCCCTCTCCCTACCTCCCTCTCTGCCTAGCTCCCATCTGAAAACACCCAGTCTTCCGTATTCACTAAAACACTTTCTCACTTTTTCTTCTTGTTTGGGGGGAGGTCCCTCCCCCAAACTTCATTCACTTTATAATTGAAAATTCTAAACTAAACTAAATAAAATACATGTACATCCGTTTTGTCGAATTTTATGTGCTATTCAAATACTTACAATCAAATTGCCACATTGTAACACTTTCTCTTTTTCATCACACGTGTTTACAAAGTATTTCACACGCTTTTTTTTTAAGAAAAGATTGAAATTGATCTTGTTGCGGCATTGGCGTTTAAATATAATTAGAGTTATTTTAATTGAATTAGAGAGCGCCTTTTAGGGTCCTTGAAAATGGTGGCTGGCGGAAAGAACAGAGGAGCCATTTAACACGTGGACAATTATAATATCTCCAAAATCCGAGATCACCGTGGATCCTGACTTCATAAAAGATTTTCTATTTTCTAAAATAACCTAATCCTGTCTTCATCAAGCTTAAAAATCAGCGTTGACATACATTCAATTCCTACAAATACCAATTTTCCACTTCTGCTTTACTTCAGTTATATTTCTTGCCGAACTTTCATTAATCGAGATCCGGCGCCAACCTACGGTCGGCTAGGGAGGTTTCCCCAACCAGTTATCTCCCACCAGCGGGGCACCGCTCCAGCCGGGACAAGCTCTAAGCTCCCGGCAGGTGTGGTAGTACAGTGCATGTTAGTTTGTGTGTGTGTAAGAGGTAAAGATAGGACGAGGAAGAGGTAGGAAAGATCGCGCGCGGTCCATGGTCCGTTTGTTAAGGTACTGCACCAGGATTCGCCTGGTATTGATCAGAAATAACACGGAAATCTACCTATCAGAGCAGCCGGCCGCTAGAATCCTCTTCCAGACGACTGAATTCGACCTATAAAAAATAGCTGACAAGCTAGTGTCGAAAATGTTGCTATCGTCGGGACTCGAACCTACCGATCAGAGGGACTGCAGTGACATCTGTTGATGCCCTGAGCCATCTCTCCCAGTTTGTGTCCTAGAATAGAATTATATAACATTTTCACTAGTATAGATAGATACAGACTAGGGTTCTGAATTTTGAAAATTAAATTTCCGTCATTCAATGCAGCTGCAAACTTCTAGGGGCACTATCCGCCATTGGTGAGCATTGTTATCATTCAACTACGTACATTTAAAGGTGATGTAGGAATTCCGAAGCTTAAAACAACGTACGCAAATTATACTCCTCCCTCCATACTCCACGTAATTTTTTTAAATTTATTTATTTTTTGCGAAAATTGTTTCGAATAAAAAATCAAATTCGTCAGGTATTGACCGAAAAGAAATCACAGGAAAATACCGATTAGAGAACCTGGTCACAGAATCTGCTTGTGTGGGCTGATTTAGCTATAAAGATACTGTTGAAAATCCGCGACCGACCGGCTTGGAACTCTACGACCTCCAGGCACGATTGTTTTGAGTGAATTTGAAACAAAATGTTATAAATGTTACCAGCGCACTCTCCGCCTTGCTGAATGCATGTTTACAAAATGAGAAACTTTACTTTATAAAATATGAATTGCAAGAAACGTGGAGCGCATATTTAAAATTTTATCCATTCCCGCCATATTTTGTTGTATCCAATAGAGAGCGCTCCTTATCGACCTTCATTTAAGAGGTTAGAAAACTTATTTTTTTCTTTATCTGTGTCAATTTCTTACAACTAGTTTCGTTTCTGCATTATTGTTAGTTGCTGTAGGTGAACCTTCGATGCCTTCATTTCTGTTACCTTGTATCAGCATCAGCTGCATATTGTTTATCCTATTGTTGAATGTTATGAAAAATGACATGCAATGTGGTTGACACGTGCATTATCTCAAGCAATCTCAAGTGATACGTTGTGTGCTTTCAAAAACTTGTTCCATGACAATCGGTTTTCTTCGATTGTGCTTGAAGAACCCACCAAATAACACCAATACTAAGAAGAAATAGTCGATCATGTCAGACAATTTAACTCGACAGGTTAGAATGTCAACAGCTTTATTTTGATATTACACCAAACCTAATCCTTTTTATCGGAGAAGAAAACGGTAGTGTGCATTTCTTTTACAGGTAGAAGAAATAGAAGCATTGTCTTCAATTTATGGAGATGAATGGAGAACAGAGGATGAAACTCACCGCTCATATAGTATACTCATTAAAGAAGGGCCAATGTCTGTTACTATGTATGTGAAGTTACCTCCAGATTACCCATCTGAATCTCCACCTGTTTTCCAGCTTTCTGCTCCAGAATTAACACACAGTACAAAGCAACAGATTAACACAGAATTAAATAATGTATACATGTAAGTTCAATTAACACTGAAATTGCAGAGTAATATTCAATGAACATTTTGCATTACATTAATGTTTTCTACAGTGACAATATCGGAGAAACTATAATATACTCATGGGTGGAAAAAATACGTGAGATCTTGCAAGATGCTTGTGCGAAAGCCAAACAAGCTGTCAAGGAGAAAATAGTTATTCAGCATGAAGAAGAATATTGCGTGTCTGCTCTCACGAATGTAGATATTCCAGATATAACTCACGGTGAACCTATTACAGACAGGAAAAGTGTCTTCCAAGGCCATGCTATTTATGTAGAAAGGGTGGAACAAGTCAAGTAAGCATCAAATTTACCTACCACATGCTTAATTAATATTGTCCATTAGTGTACTGAAAAGAATTATTATGAACCCAAATTTGGCTGTCCTTAAAAAAGTAATCTGTTGTAGACTCTTTTCACAGCTGTAGAGTTCTACTGAGAATTGTCCCTATCAAACTTAAATACAAATAGTTATATTGTTGAGGCTGAATTTGGACCCTAAAAAATGTTTTAACATTATTGTAAATGTTTCTCAGTAGACCATTATTTTCATCTCTCACAAATGTAAACCTGTATTAATGTTTAAACAGTTTGCCATAAATCAGTATTAAAGATGAAAAATATTACTGTTATCAGAGATATGTAGAATGGTCACATTCCTTCAAAAGTATTTTGCTACGATACTGACTGGCTGATTGTAGTAATATATTTTCTCACTTTTCTCCCCTAGAAAAGCACTTGAGGTGCTGTGTAGTAACCGAAAAATTGCAAATGCAACTCATAATATATATGCATATCGAATTTTCAAACCAGACACCAAATCCTATATACAAGATTGTGAGGACGATGGAGAAACACAAGCTGGAGGTCGACTTTTACATCTCTTGCAGGTAAAACATAACTCGTTAACCTTGCCAATAACTCATGAAAATTCAGTATACTTACTGTGGGAAATGTGAACTTGAGATCCATACTTCGTCCTCAGTGGAATCTAATGAAGTATTGTGGTATTCATGTTTTGTTTCCATTAATTGAAGCAGATTTCATTTGATTATATTGAATTTTATATGAAAAATGTTTCAGACTCATGTAGCAAACCTAAGGTTTGGCAATAAAACTTTTTGCTTATAAAATTTATTTAGGTACGATGAAATTCAGGTTAATACAACTTTGAACACAGTCTGGTAAGCTTTATTCTCATCAACCAGCAACAAAAGCCAAAGTACTGAACTTGGAATTTCTGGTCACTTGCACACACTCAGACTATGATTCTCATCACTTATGGGTTATAAAATTACAATCTAAGGAACCACGAAGTTTAAGTTGGTACTGAGAGAAAATTATGTGTCGTTTTAATAATAAATTGTTGTTTTAATTTCAAAAATGATTATTTGATATAACTACATTAAACTGCCAGTTTCTAATAGCCCTTGACATCTGACAAAACCTTTTATTGTTTAAATACACATGCACAGTGTAACAATTATTTTTTTAAATTGAATTGAAGACTTAACTATTATCTCTGGGTAAAGCATATTGTTCTCTTGGACTAATACCTGTTGCTTTCTTTCTTTTTTCAGATTCTAAATGTAAAAAATGTACTTGTTGTAGTATCTCGATGGTATGGCGGTGTTCACTTGGGCCCAGATAGATTCCGTCACATAAACAATGCTGCCCGCCAAGTACTGTGTGACGCCAACTTTATAAAACGATAATACAGACGATTACGCATGAAATTAATTTAAGACACTCATGGATTTTGGAACTATTTTGTATATAACATGTATATAGGTCTGGGTTTTTGCATCTTTATAAGTAAGATAATTCAATGTAAATGGAAAATAAAACATAATATATTACATTTATAAAAATCTCTACAGACATTCAAGATAAACATTGAAAACCATTAGAAACCAAAACCAAAATATTAAATAAATAATGTTGAAACCTAAACATTACCTTATTCATTCACAAATACAAATTATACAAATCTACATATTAAAACAATATTTATCAGAAAGTAATTAGTAAACTAACCATCACCCAAATCTCACACTAAAGATAAAATATTCTATAAAACATTTATTCAATACTATCATATGAAATAACTCAATGACTTAAGATAACTAATTACAATATGCAACAAAAATTGAAAACAAAAATCAACAACACTGACCTTTTTTAGATTCATTCTGATTTACAGAATTAGATGTCATGAAAGACAAAATTTTATATAAACTATTAAACTCCTAATGCTTCTGGAACAGTAGTAGCAGATGGCCCTTGAAAATGAAACCTACAAAATAAGGAAAATCAATTGATATAACTCATACTATATAATGTATACTTATAATTCAGATTTCTATCTGTTTTATTTACATTGAAATAAATGCACAAAATAAAGTTGTTAAAAAATTAGAAGTGTTCCTGTTAAGACTCAATGCACAGGGAGGGAAGATGTGTTGGAGAGACAACAGGGACAGAGGAAAATTATTGGGACGCTTTGTTACAACTTTATTTTGTATTCATTCCAGTTGTATCTGAAATGATCAAACTTTTCATGAAATGAACTAGTTTGCATGATTTTGTCATTGAAGCTGATGACAAAATTATTCATTTTTACCTTTGGTAAAATAAAACAATGTCTTTAATTACAAGGATACTTTCTAGTACTCTTTAAAAAAATTTCATTTATGAACAAAGTCAGTAAAAGTCGTACCAATATTAAATATTGCACAATTATACACTAATTCCATAACATCTTAAAGCCCCTGCATATGAGCATTGCATTAGCGTGTGTTTGTAGTGCATCTTAGAATAACACTGTATTTTATGCAAAACAGCACGCGCTTTGGCTGTTCAGCATAAGAGAGAATTAATCTAAGACGTGTGTTACTTATTGGGTGTCAATTCACTACTCATGTGACACAAGCCTTGATATTGTATTCACTTACTGAAAAACATTAGTAGATGGAGTTGTTTCAATGTTAAATTCAGCTACAGGCACTCCTCTTTCTGCTACCATTGGAGCAAACATTGCAGCTGGATACACAACTGATGAAGTTCCAATCACCAAACATAAATCGCATTCCTCGAAAGCTTGTTCTGAAAGAGTGATTTAATAAAAAATCAGTTAACCAAACTGACATAACTTTCTTTCAAAAATTAAAAACTAACCTGCAGCCCTCAAGACATCTGGGTCTAGTCCTTCGCCAAACCATACCACATGTGGTCTAAGTAAACCGTTACAATTTGCTTTACAACAATGCGGCAAATCATGTAAAGGTATATTGCTTGTGTCAGCATCAGCATCTGGCTGCCTGAAACAATAAAAACACAAAAGGAATTCAAAAACATTATATCTCTCGTAAGGAATTAAGCAGTGACATCTGTCCGTACCCTTTACCACGTAATGCTTCGCATATAGGACTGTTTCTGTTAACAGTAACATCCTGGCATTTTGTACATCTTGTTTGGAACAATGATCCATGTAATTCAATGACATCTTGGGCACCAGCTTGTTGATGAAATCCATCAATATTTTGCGTTACAATCGTCATTTTCTGACCATTTCCTTGAAGAATTTTCTGACATTTTGCAAGGGCTTCATGTGCCTGAAGAGAAATTCAATGATTCAATTGCAACACTTACATAGCATGACAGATCATTCAACATTTTACAGTACCTTATTAGGTTTCTTTGTCAACACTAGCTCTCTTCTGTAATGATAAAATTCCCAAACAAGGGAGGGGCTCCGAGAAAATGCTTCAGGAGTAGCCAGGTGCTGCGCTTGATACTTCCGCCAAAAACCACCAGCTCCACGAAAAGTAGGTATACCCGATTCGGCAGATACCCCAGCACCCGTCAAAACCGCAATATTTTTTTTGTTTTTAAACATTTCTTTAAACGATGCAATATCTGAGCTTGGTCGCGATTTCGGAGCCATGGGAAATGAAGGAAACTTGGTTGCCAAACTTTTATATCTGCAAAGTACCTGAAAACGGGCAATTATACACATATTTGCACGCCTGTTTACTGTTTGGACATATTAACGGTTTACAAGTCTTTCCCTACCACAAATTAAATGACTTCCTAAATTCACTTCACCGTCAGCTCACACGAACATCAATGACTTTTTGCTTTGCACTTCATTCTCATTTTAATACACGCGCTAGCAAGTGGCAACCAGGTGGCAACAATGACTGCACTGGACTGCACTGAAAGTGTGATTCGTGGTCTGGACAAATTACTTGTTCTCAATGAATTCGATTGGCTGTTGTATGTGACGGTGTGTGACTTTGTTTTGTTAAAACTAAACTTACCAACATGTAACCCGTGCTGTCATGTTATTTTAACGAAATTTATAAACATTGATTGCAGTATTCCCTTTCTTTTTACATCATCCCGATTATTCCGGTTATTGGGTAGTTTTCTCCTTTTCTAATAATAAAACGAGAAGTTTTTCTGACATTTCACGAATATCACGTGCTCGTGGACTCTTCAGCAGTACAGCCCGCGTAATTTTAATGGCGGCGTAGTACATTGTGTATGTGAATAGTTTGTGGCAGCTTAATAATTGAATTTCGAGCCCCTTGTTTCTTGGGGTATGTGCTGTGACATTGACATATTTTAAATGAAGATAAGAAATATATCCAATGCTTCGGTGATTCTTTGTGATAGCTTAACATAATTTTAATAGCATACTAACTGTTTAAAAAACATTGTTAAGCATAAAATGGGGCCTTATTCATTGAGAGGAACCCTTAAAGATAATATCTTGGAGCCCCCTCATGAATTTCCTTTTCCTTTCACTCCATATCCAATTCAACAAGATTTTATGACAGCATTGTATGTAGCTTTAGAAGGCAGTAAGCTTGGTATTTTTGAGAGCCCAACAGGAACTGTAAGTATATATTTATTTCCCATAAATGCGAGACTTCAAAGTAGGTATTTTGATTGTAATAATATTAATAATGTGCCTTTAATTTGGGTAATTCAGGGTAAATCTATGAGCATGATATGTGGAGCTCTTACTTGGTTGGAGGACAATGAAAAACGAATTCATCATTCTCTAGAATTAGCTGCTGCGACAACTGTCGGTGTAAGTGATGGAGATGAAGACTGGATAACTGAGCAGGCAAGACAGTTAGAGGAAGCAGCTATACGTGCTGAAAAAAAAAAGCAGCTCATCCTATTAGAAGCAAAGGTGAAGGAGATGGAAATTATTGCCAAAAAAGTGATAGCACGTCGAAAAAATGTGGGTTTGTGATGCTTTTACATGTAATAGCCAAACTATTTGTCTTTATAGATTTCTGTACATTATACACAAAGTACATTATACAAGTGAGCTTTTGCTAAAAATATTTTCTTTGAGTCCACAGAGTGAATCTAAGAAGCTTCTTTCAACAACAATTCAAACAAAACGAGATGAAGAAAAGGTGAAAGAAGATACGGATGATGATTTGTTGTTGGAAGATTATTCAGAAGTTATGGACGAAAAGACTGAAGAAGAAGGAGATGAAAATAAAGAAGAATATGTAGTCACGAAAGTAAAATTAAATATTTAATTTTCTTTAATTCTAATTAAAAACAAATTTTATTGTTGTAGATTGTTTGTAATCTTTGCAAATTCCAAGAACTATTTTTTTTTTTCCCATCTCTGACAGCTCATTGTTTTTTAAAGACACAAAATGTTCTCTAAGTTTTATTAAGGACAAATGTGAAAATTGATTTAGTTATTTACTACAGGGAAAAGTTGTAATATTTTGACAAAAACATGTTTCTGTGGGTTCCTTTTAATGAAAAAGTGGGTTTCCCTTTTCTTCTATATGAAGTCAAATCAAAGTACACTATGGGGCCATCCTTGATAGTGAGAAAGTGCCTTTTCTCAAAACATCTGTGAACACTCATGAGTAAAAATGTACATATTTTTCCAAAATCATTATTCCCCTACCTATCTCTCTGATGTGAGACTTCAAATTTGAAATGGTTATTTTAATTTTTGGTGACATTTTATATCAAGTCTGTAAGAGGTTTTAGAAATTATCTCAAAAATGGCTCCAAATTTTACTTTTAAATGTTTTGTTTGAATAGAATAAAATGTTCTTATTGCTGTCAGTAATGCACCCCTACAAAATAAAAATCAGAAGGGTTTCTCAGGGAATTAATACTTCCTTTCATTGTGTAGCTTGTAAAGTAGTTTTATTATCCTGTCACCAGTTGGTTGCCTTAAATGTAACAATCAGAACACAGAGTTTGTGTGTTCATGCAAGTGTATTTTTATTCACAGATTTTCTTCTGCAGCCGAACTCATTCTCAATTATCTCAACTAGTGTCAGAATTACGTCGCAGTGTGCATTCAGATAAGCGTGTGACTTGCCTTGCATCACGCCAAAGTTACTGCATAAATCCTTCAGTACGTTCGTTAGGGAACCTGTCACTTATCAATGATAGATGCCTTGATCTTCAAGAAGGACGTACATCTACAGCAAGAGACAAAGATGGATGCACAACCAAAAGAGCCCGTCGTTGTGGAGGTTGCCCACAAAAAGCTCAAGAACGTGTGCAAGCTTTGCGTGACGAGATTCTGGTTGAGGTCTCTGATGTTGAAGAACTTGTCAAAAAGGGCACGGAATTGAAAGCATGCCCTTATTATGCTGCTCGAGCTGCTCTTAAAGATGCTCAAGTAAGTTTGAATAGGTACTTCTGATTACATTTATTTATATCTTAAAAAATTATTTTTGTTGCCACTTATACAAATCTCACCTAACTATACTCACTTTCCCCTAATCACCAATTTTGATGATACTGCCATGGAACAAAGCTGTTTAAAATTTTCATGTATGTTCATTTGAACTTTCCTAAATAAATTCAAATGAGGATGATAGAATTAATTTTGTATATAGGTCTCAATGTGAAACATATGGTTTAATTTGCAATAATAATTTACTTCATCCTGATTTTCACTTCAATTTGTGTTGCTGTCAAGGCTTGTTTTGAATACTTTGATATTTATGAATGGAATTTTTTTAAAATTCAGTACAAGTTACAATGTTGTTTCCATAGTAAGATGGAAGTGTTATATTGCAGAAGCATTAAAACTAAAAAATGTATATTAAAATTTTTTTGTTTCATTGTTGTGCACAATGTTCACTCTGGTTCTGAGATACTAATTGTTGAAGTACATTTCTTAAAGTTTAAATAACAGTTTTAATATTTACAGAAGAATTTATAAATTATTCATTAAAATTCTTTTATATTAAAAATGTAGGTCAGGTCTAGTGTGGTGGTTCAAAAAACATTTGTATGCACAGGTTGTATTGCTGCCTTATAACACATTATTACATGCTGCCACTCGAGAAACTGTGGGCATAAGCTTGGCAGGAAATATTGTGATTATTGATGAAGCTCATAATCTGCTTGACACTATTGCACATATGCACAGTGCTGAAGTGACTGGTCAGCAGGTATGTATTTCTTTCTTCCCATGTTTATTTTGTTTTTCATATCCTCTCTAAAATAATTGAAATTCTGAAAATTGTCAGCAATTTCTAAATTTTTGAAAATAGAAAATTCAAAATAACTTTAAAATTCTTTCCCAGAAATTCAAGTATCAAATACAATGTTTTACAAATATTTCTGCAAGAATTTTTGTTTTTTCTCAATTTTCTCCTCATATTTAATGTATTACATTTGGCAGTTTCAAAATTGGCAAGAAACTTCCCTTTTTATTTAAAATATTTTTTCTTATACATGAATAGCAATTACATTTACCTCTTTGTAGCTTTCAGACGCACTCACTCAACTAAATGCATATCGCAGCCGCTACGAGAGCAGGTTCAGTGCAATCAATATGTTACGTTTAGATCAATTAATTTTTTATATAGAGCGACTGTTACGTATTCTCCGAACAAACATAACTAAAGGACAAATCACTCCAGCAAATGCATACAAAGGCCCAGTGACTACTGTTTATCAGCTGATGGATTTTGCCACTGCTGCTGGTGTTGAAAGTATAAATCCATATTTGTTATTGGAATTCTGCCTGAAAAGTAAACTTGCTCATAAAGTAAATATCAACAAAGCTATTTTTCAGATGCTGTTAAATTTATCTTTAATTTGTACTTAATTCATTAATATAAATTTTTGGTTTTATTATTTTATTTTTTTTTAGCTCCGAGGTTTTGCCAACAAAGGTCCTTCAGTTGTTCAGGTTCATGAACGAAAACCAACAGGATTGAAAGCATTTCTTGATGGAATCCAGAAGGGAAATACAGAACCTACTGTAGACGGTTAATATTAATTTTGTATAATTCATAAGTCATTACATAATTTATAAAAGTGGACTCTGGTTAATTTAACATGATGCTGTTTGAATTAATGGATAATTGGAGGAAAAGTGTTCCTCTTAATTAATCTGATCAAATCAATGTAAAAAGATGGTAATTCTTTCAAAATGTTGGTAATTTGAAGCTAGGATTTTATAAACTTCTAGAGGAAAAAACCTTTTTCTTTAAATTTCAGCATTTGGTTACTCGTGATGTTCGTAATTTTTTGTTTGAAACTCTTTTACATGTAATATTAGGTGTTTTTCATTTTACTTAATTTTTATGTGATGAGTAGTATACATTTGCAGTTTACGGTATTATAACCACAGGTTACTCATTAGAATTCATTTGAATTGATCTGTTACATTTTCTCGAGATATCTACAGTGTTTGAATTACAAAGTACATTTAAATTGAAGATTACATTTTACGAATCTTTACTACATTTATTGAATCTTTATTATAATCTTTCAGAAGAGCCATCTGACTCAACCAATGAACCAGTCTCAAAAAATGCAATCCTCCCAATACTTAGCTTTCTTGAATGTCTTATGAGTCGTTCTGGAGATGGTCGCGTTGTCTGTTCTCAACAAGCTACTTTGGGAGCAAGTCGATTGAAATTTCTACTTCTAAATCCTGCTGAATATTTTAAGTCAGTTGTACAAGAAGCAAGGTAAACTGTTTCATTAATCTTTTAAACAACACTATTTTTTCTAAAAACTTTGTATTGAAATCTTATTGTGTGTTGTCTCACTTTAAAACTTTTGTAGAAATGAATGTAACTTCTAGTTTATTTTAATAACATAGAAAGTAATTTTTAAAATTATTTTTCAATCCTTAAATGGCTATGAGACTATTTAGACTGAACCTGAAATCTCCTAAAATACTTTGGGAGATGTCTTGTGAGTTGAAGGATAGTCATACAAACTAATGGTGACTCCTAAGTATTTTTATGTTTGCATGTGCACATCCAAATTAATTCTGCGCATTTCCTCTTGTATATCTCTCAACAAGAGGAGCATAAAAAGCATCTCAGACATGTTATTTCAAATTATGACTCATTCGGAATCTGTGATTGCTAGCCTGCCTCAGATGTCCTCTGTGAAAGGTGGAATACACTTGGGAAATACAAATGTGCAGAGGACTTTGATGGTTGACATTGGGATGAAGGGGAATAATAGTGGCTTATGGAGGTCCTGGAGATTTCGAAGGGTGAAGCATACAGTAATGTGTAGGCACTGTGTGTGATGTCTGCTGTGATGTCTCAAAGATAAAACATTTGGATTGGCTAACACGTATTTAACAGAAAATGAAGGCATTTGATGATGAAAAAAGTTAATCTGTGTCCACTAGAATGCCCTCTTTAACAAAAATACAAGGTCTTCCCTCGTAAGCTAACTAGTTTGGAGCTAATACCATAATGCTTTAACAATATTTTTTTTTTTACTAGGGCTGTGATTGTAGCTGGTGGAACTATGCAACCATTATCAGAATTCAGAGACCAGCTGTTTCGGGCTGCAGGGGGCAGTTCAGATCGCTTGGCACAATTTTCTTGTGATCACATTGTCCCTCCTGAAAATATTTTGCCTATTGCTTTGGTGAAAGGTCCTACTGGCAGAGAATTGAACTTTAGCTATGAAACTCGCAGTTTACCAGACATGGTATGCTATCCTATTTTCTTAATTACTTAATATCACTTGTTAGTGTTCTTCATGATGTTCAGTTAACAAATGACTTTCAGTGTAAAACAATTTTAAACTCGTTGTTTTATGAACTACTAATCTGCAATTTGTAAAACATATCAAGCTCATGTGTGAATATGGTTGTTGAAATCGTATCGTAATAAGCAAAGTTAAAAGAGTGATGTTACTTTCATGCACTGCAATTTTTTAATGATTGGTTGAAGACCTAATTTCTTTTATTCATTCTTCTCTTTTCATTTCTGTTAGCTTTTTTTACCTCTCCTCCATTGTACAGAAGTGTGTTACAGTTGGAAAAATTTATTAGTGAAACTATTTTCTTAATGTTTTCCAAAAACATTGAGAGTGCACCTTGAACACATATATTCAGATCTGTCCCAACAATCCAATTGATGTATAATTCTTTGTATATTTGCAACTAGTCATTTTCTGCTATGAAAAGAACAAGTAAGCAGGGAAATAATGTAATAGAAAGTCACAATTTAAAGTATTCTCTTCTTGTATTGTGCTTAATCTGTTAGATGTATTAAGTGCATTTGAATTTCAGTAGAGATAAATTTGAAAGACAAGATTTACCGCTTATCATCTGCAATTTGTAGAATTCCCTTCCTTCCCTTCCATTAAATATTTACAAAAATTTCTTTAATTTTCTCTTCTGATGAATATGTTGATGTACTTGACACATTTTATATCTGAAATCAAAATTTTAGATCCTGGAAGTGGAAAGAATTCTTTCCAACGTGTGCAATATTGTTCCTGGAGGCATTGTGTGTTTTTTCCCATCGTATGATTATGAGCAACAAGTATTTTCTTTTATGCAAAAATCTGGTACTCTTGAGAAGTTGCAATTAAAGAAAAAGGTAAAAATGGAATAATATTTAAAGATGTCTATCCATCTTAAAACTATATCTCAAATAGCGTAAAAGTATTGTGATAATTTTCATAGATATTTCGAGAACCAAAGAAATCTTCACAAGTGGATCAAGTCCTTCGTGATTATGCACTTGCTATCAACAGATCTAAATCTTCTGATCGGAAAGGTGGTGCTCTGATGTTGAGTGTAGTTGGTGAGTAGACATTAAATATATAATCTTAATATAATTGTGCATGTGTTTGAGTGTATCTAGTATGTAGTGGCATTGTTGCTGGAAGAGGTAGGCTGAGTGGGTGGATGGAATTAAAAAAATCTGGCAATGCCAGGTAATCAGCTAGTATGTAAAATAATATTCTATAATCACTGGCTGTAATGGTAGTATTAACTGCAAATCAAATTTTTACAATTTTAGATGTCACAAACATACTCAAAAAGAAATTATGGTAATTCAGATGATGATGATGATTATTATTATTATTATTATTATTATTATTATTATTATTATTATTATTATTATTATTATATTTTTAATTTTCAAGGATATTAAATATTAATGAACAATTAAGGAAAAATAATATAAGTATGTAAACAGATACACACAGGGCATTAAACAGTGTGGAAATGATATGAGTGTGAAACTAAGCTTTTTCAGATTAGAATGCAGGTAGACTGTCAAGTGAGAGCAAGTCTGGGTAACTTCAAGGCTAATCTGTCCTTCCAGGAATGGAAAGGCTTGAAAACAGTCATATGTCATACTTTGCTTAAAAAAAATATTAGATTACCACGTATATAGCCTCCAGCCAGTTTGTCTCTCTGCAAGTAGTATTGGCAAAAAATGGCAGAGTAATGCAGTAATGTTTGTTATAGATCTTTCTGCTCCTAAGCAGTTTAAAGAATTTTAAAACAAAATAGAGATTATTCTTTTGAACTATAAATATGTACAAATACAAATTAATAAAAATATGAATGTTCAATAACCTTTTGCTATTTCATTTATTTATTTGTTAATTTTGAACAGTGTTTATTTTAGAAAGAAAACAGGTAGCATTAATTAATGAATGAGAAAAATGCAAGAAGATGCAGATAAGATTTATAAGTCCAAGCATTATTTCTAATTTATGGACCATCATGCAACTGAAAATTGAAAGTTGGAGTGAACAAATTTCAATTTGAAAACTAAAAGAAATTGATCAATTATGTTAAAAATTAAATCAAAGTTTTGTTATCAATGTTTTGTGTGTATGTGTGTGTGTGTGTGTTATGAGAACCTAGACTATAACGTAATCAACTTATTAAGCACTGCAATTATTTTGTTCGTGCTAATACTTGCAGTATCTATTTCAAAAGGGATACAAAGTTAGGAAGAGGAAAAAGCATCAACTTTAAAATGATGTTAGAGCTGCCCCTGTTATAAATAATACTTCACCATTCTTCTCTCACAAAACTGACCCACTTTTTAAATATTTAGGAGACTCATTTAATAAATACTAATTAGAAATACTAACATCTATAAGGAAGAAAAGAAAAACGCTTATGTTCCTTGAAGATTGGCTTTTGTGACAATAACATTTCTTTGGTTTATCTAGCCTTGCATAACTTCAAAAGGTCCAAAAAAACAATAAAACTTGTTACATTAAAAAATACATAAAATATGGATGTTCCAAGAAATGAGCAAATATAGAATATTTTACGTTAAACAGAATAAAGATAAATTAAGTTTTCAGACAAATCGATAAAAGTTAGTTTATCACATTATTTTTGCAAAACGTTATTCAGAAAAATTGTGATGAGATTCATTCAGATAGCCTAAGCTACATAGATGAGGTGGTACAACTTTGCTGCATTCTAAAAATATATTTTGTGTTAATTTCCAGGTGGAAAACTGAGTGAAGGACTAAATTTCTCAGATGATTTAGGCCGCCTTGTAATTGTTGTTGGAATGCCTTATCCAAATAGCAAAAGTCCTGAACTGCAGGAGAAAATGAATTACCTCAATACTCACATGGTATCAAGATTTGTAACAAATAAACCATATATTGCCTTGTCGCAGTACCTACCATAGCAACATAGTCTTTTAATTTCATTTGTCTATGTAGGGAGCAGGCACTGGCCAGAAACATTATGAAGCTTTATGCATGAAAGCAGTAAATCAGTCTATAGGACGTGCCATTCGTCATCGAGAAGATTATGCCACAGTGCTCCTTGTTGATAAACGTTATATTCGACCATCTGTGCAAGCAGGTTTGCCTGGATGGATTCAGCGATCTCTCCGTTCTTGTGATAAATTTGGACAAGCTCTTGCACAAATACGTCAGGTTTGTCCTGCTGTTAAGTTCTTAATATGATATAGTATTGTTTATGCTAAAATTAGTCATTATTTTTTTTTTCTTTCAGTTTTTTCTGAACAAGAAGGCACATTGACTCATAATTTGCTTCATTAAATAAATTATTAAACAAGTACTGTGGCCCAGTTAACAGATTTCCCTTAAAATCATTTTATTGTTCCAAGCTTTTTCTAAAGATCATCATTGCCATTGAATGGCTCAAATGCATTACTGTGTCGGCGGGCTACTTCATATGATCTCCTTCTCCATCGGTTGTATACGTTTTGATACAAAAGTTTGGCTACTATAGCAATAATGAGGGACACTCCCAGAACAATGCCAACTATTTCAGCAGCTCCTAAAGAATCACTTGGTTCATTTACAGTGCTATGATTGTTATGGTCAACAGTTGTAGTTGTGGTGGAATTAGATGAGTCTGAAGTGTTTGAAGAAAATTCTTGCGATACATCCATACCACTTATGGCAGCCAGCGAAGTGTCATTTTCATCTCCATCTGTTGTCAATGAAGTATTGAGATGATGCGCTGTTTCTAAATCAATTGGGTTTTTGGGTGGCGATGGTGAAGTGATTGTAGCATTAATTGGAGGTACAAATATTGTACTCGAAATTTTATCTTGAGCTTCATGCAATATCACATCTGTTGAAATTCTCAGAGTGTGTTCAGTTACGTCTGTAGGCAATTCAGATATTTCTGAATTGTTTCTGACACATCTGACAAAAGCGACATTTGATATTTCACCTTCTGTACCATGTTCACCAATTGCGGTCATTGCAATATAAAGAGGATTTCTTGGTGCTGTAAAGTGAGGAGGAATTTTTAACATTATCTTTTCTTTTGTCCCCGCTTTTCCTGGTACAGTAGAAAGGTTCATTCCATCACTGGACACAATATCATACAGAGTTGTAGATAATATCAATTTGTATTTTATAGCTGTAACAAAAATAATTTTGTGTTAGTCAATGCTTTGAAAACCTAAAATGGAGAACACATTCTTCCAAAAAATATGACTCCTTGAAGCATCTGTATTGCAGTGACCAGTTAATATTAGTAGCATGAATAAATGACACAGTCACATAACAGGCTTATCAAACAGTAGTAGGTTGAATTCAGTTGATCTTTTAAAACAATAAGATAATGTGTTTTTACAAAAATTAATTTTATAGCAAATTTTGAATTGAGAATTTAGATCAAAATATGCAGAAATAAGGAGGCAGGATATCATCTACATAAAATTGATCTTACCATTGGCTGGAGCTGTAAAGTCCACAGTCAGAGTGCATTGTTTTGCATCGGCCTCCACAGACACAACCAGATCATCAATTTCTGATGGAAAGGACAATTCGCTGGCTGTATTGGGCTGGAAAATGTTTTTTGAAGTTTTGGAATTGGTCATTGAAAATTTCAAATGTGCACAGAAGATTTTAAGAATATTGTCTCACCTGAAATGTTCCTGCCCAGGCAACTCTAGTAAATGCTTGGAGCTTAAGGATTGTACTGGAATCTAAAAATTATTAAATGAATATGTTTTGTTTGTTGTATTTGTATTTTATTTATTCTATTCGCATAAATAAATTATTAATCAAAATTTCATTATACCTGGCAGTAACTGTCCCCTTGCCCAGCAACGTGCATTATAATATCTATGTTCTTGAATATTTAAATGCTTTCTTACATAAAAACCTTCATTGGAGTAGTTTCCTGAAATATGTCTCAGCTCCTTCTTTATTACATTCCCATCTTGGTCAGTAATATCCACACTGAAAGTGAACCCAAATTGATGTTATTTTCCAGGTATCATTGTCAATCTAAATCATTGGTATGAAAGATGAAATCGAAAATTGTAATTCATGTCTATTTATTACCTGATTATTGTATTGTTAATCAAATATTTGCCAGGATGTACAGATCCACAAATGGACAAATATTTTTTTCCTGGAAAATAACATAGACAATTAATTTTTGTTAGGGTCAAATTTAATTTTTGTAAAGGCAAATTGATTATTTTATTTTTAAAAAATATTGACCTATTTCAATCCAACAATCAAATGTTATATCAGCCCCTATATTTGTATCATTTTTATTTGCTGTTATTTGTAGGGCTATAAATTTGTTAAATGAAGGAGAAGATATGTCAATTTTCCATTGGCCAGCCTGAAAAGACCTTGGTTTGAGTTTTTATGTCTATTTTATGAAGGAAAATATTATAGGAAATTTAACTTATATTCGTACGATTTTAGGTAAATTACAAAATTTTAAGTTTCCATTCTTGAATTGCCTAATTGGTAGTTGTTGACTTTCACCAGAAGGAGCTGTCAGATTCACAGACATTGTCATACTATATGGCCAGTAATACAAATGGATACATGTATATGGTGCCACAGTTCTATCAATACTAAAGATAGTTTGTAAATCATTTTCTGAGAATTCTTCTTCAAAAATCTGCAATATAAGTAAGACCATACAAACTTTAAATATTGTACAACCTTCAAATTTTTAAGATAATTTACACATATGTATGCAGGTGTACATGGAAAAATCCAGGCTAAGTCTTGAATAATAAATACTCTGATCTAATTGTCAAATGTTCAATTTCTGTAATAAAATCCTAATTTTAATATTATGCATAAGACATATTTTAAATTGTGCACTTAATAACCAATACACTCTAATGCAGAAATAATTTCAGATGGTTAAAAAATGAGAAGATTCAATTTTATTTTGAGTGTTTAATACTGATGTTCAATGCACTTTTGAAGGATTTTCATCATACATTAATTGGTATGGGAACATTTGTCACAGTGAGAAGTTCAGCTTGCATTGTATTTAAAAGACCGAGGACAGTACTCGTGTCAGTGACATGATTCACAAATGCTCCTGTCAGTTCTTCAAACAGATGATAGTTGGCAAGAGAATTGCTAACAAAACAAAGAGATAATGAATATTAATATTGCACACTCTAAAGACTACTGTTACGTTATTAAGAAATAGTACCATATTAATATTCAATTTTGGTTCATTAAGAAAAATAGGAGAATTGAACGTACCCCATCAAAATAACTATAATTCGGCATTTTGAAGATTCAATTTTCTTTTTTACATCCTTCAGATCCTGCTCTAAGTTCTCATCATTGCCATCCGTTATGAGTAGAAGAGTAATATTACTGTTAGCATTCTGTAAACAAAATAAATGTTCTTATCATCTTATTTTTGTGTATGAAGTCTCATTGAATTTATGGTTTATTCAAAGACTTGCAGAAACAAATCATAACTGTTCATGGAATAATAATGAATTTTATTACTGATAGACTTACAAGTATCAAGTAAGTTTAGTTTCAAAATAAAAAAAATTGTTCAATTGGTAACAAAAGTAATTAAATAACAATAATAATTTTACTTGGACTAATAGGAGACTTTCTAACAGTACTAATTAATACATTATCTACAAATCTTATAAATGTGCAGAAATGACATTTACACGAATAATTAAATTAGCTTGTAATAACAGAATTTAGTTAAATAAAATTATAAAAGAGCTGACAATAATCATTTGCAATCAGGTTCTAATAATAACAATGTTTTTGACAGGAATGGAGTGAATATAATATGATATGATATGATGGCATAATAATTACTCTTGTGTTAATGCAAAGTAAATCAATGATTCTATCTCAATAACTATTGCTTGTAGGCCTACATTACTACAACTGATTTAGTTTATATGGTCATACAGCAATAAGGTGTCACTGAACAGCGGCATAGCATGGGGGCAGCAAAGTAGTCGCTGTGTACCCAAGAGAAATGATTAATTGATGTTTTCAAGCACATCAACTGCTACGATCATTAGTGAAGTGATTTTTTATACCTGGAAGAGGCAGTGTTCCCAACTGGAAGGTGAGATCAGGTGCTGTCCTACAAGTTGGTTTCTGGAATTCCCTCTTCGAAAATTCCCTCATCAGTCACTTCCCCAGCTGGGACAAGCTCTAAACTCCTGACATGTGATTGTGTAGTGTGTGTTGTAATCTTCTGAGGATTGTACTTTCAACTAAATGAGCAGACAAAATGTATTATTCCATTACAAGTTATATACCCAAGTGCTCTTATTACTGTCTTACCAACTTAATCATTAATAACAATTCTAAGCACCATAGGCATGCATTAAAACAAGAGGGTGGTCATTACACTTTTAGGGCCCCCTTCCCTTTTCTAATAATCTTTGTTTTTGTATTAGTTTATTTTATTAGTTAATAAATAAAATGTAATGCAAGGAGAATGAAATAATTTTAATGACACAATGAAGTGACACAGAGTGGTCACTATTTTTCTGAATCAAAATTTCCGTAATGTTCCCTGATTTTCCAATTTATTTTTCGTCAGATCAATCACATGGATATGAAGAAAAATAATTGTTTCAAAGCTCACATGACATTATTACTATTACTACTATTATTGTCATCAGTTCGACATTCCGGAAGATGAGCTGACCCCTCCACACACGAATCAACACAGAGGGCCAACAGTCACTGGCATCACAAACACTCCACGTGTCAAAAAGAAATTATCGTCCAGGATGTATGGAGAGTTTCACCAAAATTGATATGCCCAGATCGATCTTGTTATTGTTGCGGCTCCTTAAATTTGAAGGTGATATATTGATTTTGGGAGTACTTTACTGAAACCTGAAGGTCTTTTTCACACGTTCCCCAAAATGACCCCATATTTTGGATGAATTTTATTCTGAGAGACCAAAGTACGCTTTTAAAAAAGGCCATGTCCGATATATCCCTTGTGGAAAACAATCATCTGAGCCAAACAGTCCACGCCAACACGTCGAAACAGTAAAAGAAAGTCACGTAATCGTGCGGAAAGTGTTTCGAGAATTTAATGGAAATACACGTTTTGGAGTACTAACGAAAAAGTGTTTTCTTCAAATCGTCGGTCTGTGTCTCCCAGTCTGTGAGCAGCACCACCGCGTAAGCCAATCCTAGGATTTTCACCAAAAGTGATATTCTCAGATCGATCTAGTTGATGATGCGGCTCCTTAAATTTGAAGCGGATATTTTGGGAGTACTTAACTGAAATCTGAAGGTCTGTTTCAATGTTCCCCAAATTGGCTCCATATTTTGGATGAATTTTATTCTGAGAGAGCAAAGTACGCTTGTAAAAATAGCCATGTCCGGTTTTAGTTGAACTCCCTGAATTTACGAAAGTTGCAAAAGTTCAATTTTTCGGTGTCTTCTTGCGACTACAATATTGTAAATAGAGGTTTTGTTTCTTAACGGAAGCTGTTCTTCAGAAATTGGTTTTTGAGGAATTCATGTACAATTTTATCACAATACCAGAATGTTTCACATAATTTTCTAAAGGGCCTTTAGAATGGGTGGAATGTTGTGAACTTTACATGCTAAAATGCTTTGGAACATGAAACCAGTAGTCCTTTTAAATACCTTAATAAATATGAGAACATAATTTTGATGTGTCGTTAAATATCCACGCACTTAGTTAATACCATGTCCTTTCATGTTTATATTTCACATTTTCCACCAGTCCTCGTATTCTCACTAAGAAAATAGTTGCCATGTCTTATGTCCCAACTGCGTACCTAGGAGAAATCCCCTGTTAAGTTCATTTGTCTCGAGCGTCGCAATCAGTGGATGCCTTTTATCCCTTCGGTCAAGGGTTCCCGGCCGGTAACCCATCCGGGAATCCATGGTATCTCCAATTGCTTAACTACCGTGACTTCACGGAGCGTAATTAAGCAATTCGGCTACCGACGTCTGCTATTATATTTAGATTTATGTAGTAAAAAAAAGTAAAAACTGTACGTGACGTCGTAAGGAGAAGTTCATTTGCGCACGTTTTCTTGCGTTCCAGAATCCCTTCCCATCATTTTAACTATTAATTGTTGAAAGACGAGTAAAAGTTAAAGATAAATAAATAAGAATAAAATTTATTTAACATTTAAAAAGCTAGACATTTTTGTTCCCGAGTTATGGAAAATTTTTTTGCAACAGTAACGAACAGTTTTTTTACAGTAAACGAACTGCAAATTTGATTTTTCTGCATTGCTAACAAAATAGTAACTCGCGCTTACCTCTACTCCTACCACTACAGCAAAAGGAGAGTTCAATAAAACGTACGCATAATGAAAGTACATTTACATTCTAGCTACAGCTACATTCCTTGATATCTCAGATGGCAATGCTATCTACGTATTTTATAATCCAAAATAGAATGAAAATTGCTTCTTCTGCCTAGTCGGAAAAGTGAAGTTGGGTTGCTGAATATGAGTCCCGGTAATAATCCTTATTTCAAAGTTTTAATTTGCATATTTGAAGTTAACTGAACAAAAGCATATTTCAGGATTGTTCTGAACTGTATTGTAGATGTTCGATTAATAATCTTTTGAATTGCACATTGTTTGGGTTGTGATTGTTTTCCTTTGGGGGCATTTCCCCCATCCTGGTGAAGCTATGTTATGGGAGAAAATCAAGTTACTCAAATTATGACTAGATTTCTTTTATTTTATTTTCATAAACATAATACAATGAACGGCGGCGCATTAAAACCCTTCCGGACATTGATTGTAACGACAATTGGGCGACTAACATTTCAGACTAATAAAAATATGATTCAAGCCAATGATATGTTTGACCATGATTAATTAACAGTTATTATTCAAATCTGTAAAACCAAATAAATGAAGTACTATGCAAAATAGTTTATCTATGGTTACATCTAAATTATCATATAATGCATAATACCTGTTTATAAATTAACTCTAAACCCACTTTTTCTAATTTGGCAATGGCACTGAGAGCACTCGGTGATTTTATGTTCCGCGACTTCAAAGGTCATTGCAACATTCGTGTCTTGTATCCAGTCACTTGTTTCACAAATTATATTTTGTTTCTAACAAATATTGCAACACCACCACTTTCTTTGAATTATAAACGGAAACACGATTGGAGTTTGCAGTTAATGATTAGTTTGCAGTTAGTGATTGAATTGATTTCATCTTTAAAGCCACCAGTGTTTTCAGTAATGATTCCTACAAGCAATATGTTTTATTTATTTTACGTCATAAACAGTTAAAAACTGTGTGTGAGGTACTAAGGGGAGAAGTATATTATGTACACGTTTTCGTAAACTCTGGGATCCCTATCTTAACCCATATATAAGTTGAATGAATACATGTGAGTTTTTGGCAAGAATTGATAAGAAACTCCCATGAAATAAAAACTATTTGCAAACGCAAAACAGCTTAAGATTTTGGATATTAATCCTCATCGTGCCCTTTGTGATGGTACAACTTTCTGCCACGAAAACACTGGGAGTGATAATTTGAATAACTACGCGTATATTCCCCACTGAACGCTAGAAAAGGTGCACAGATAGTCAATAACTTTACTTTCGTGTTTCTAATCGACACTAGCTTAGTTTTATTGCAAAGGTATTGGATATTCTGATGAAGTAATATTTTGAAGACACACACCTTTTAAAACATCTATTGTGAGGTGATGACTGAACAAATATAGTTGCCTGCGTAACTATTATTCTATTCCCAAAATACAATAACACAGATACTTTCTGACTACCTTACCTTTAAGACTGTATCAATCGCACAAGATATACAGGAGGATCCTCTATCTATCTCAGGAATAGCGTTTACAATTTCATGTCTTGACGCAGGTGTGTCTATCACAGAAGATTTAATTTCTACGGCATCATCTCTGTAAGTGAATTGTTTGGAAAAGAATAAGAACTTGTAAATTCAAAATCCTGCAGAGAATATTGGTATTCATCAGAGTGATATGAATCAGGATATACTTACTCTCTTCCTAGATTATGAAAGTTGGAAAAGAATCAAGTAGACGGACGAACACGTAAGAGAAATACAGAGTAACATGTCTTAACTGTTTCAGTGGAAATTGGTTTACAGAAGTGGCGGTTTAAACAAAGTCATGAGGTTGCGGAAAGGGTAGGTCAGGTTTAATTGTGTTAACTGCGGTAAAAGAAGGTATGTTTTCCTAAAAAATAATTGTAAATAGGTACCTTACAAGTACAACTTAAATCAGTTTATATTTAATTAAAAACTATATGCACATTTGTTCGGATTTTACTAACATTTTCACAAAAAATTATTGCAGAGTTGTTTGTTTTGCAAGTTAACGA